ACATTTTTTTCAAGAAAATAACGCATCTAAGATTTCATTATGAAAAGAGCATTAATAAAAATTATCATGGAAGTTAAAAAGAAAGAAAAATAAATACATCATGAAATGATGTTTGCAATGACATCACACTCCAAATGATGTTAGCGATGACATCGTACAGGAAAACAAATCATACTAACTAGTTCATAACCAAGTATATTATTTCGCTGATCCATCTTTGTTATAATGTGATAAGTTGGCTCTCTTGTCGTCTGTGTACGATATTTTATTGCAGTATGCAGGATTTGTTCCATTGTCGCTCTGATGGTAGTTACCATATTTAGTATACGTTGAACAAAAATTTTAACATTGCCCAATCAATGCTTTGAGACGGTTTTACTTTGTTTAGTTTCTAATATAAAAAAAAATTCAGTTTTCGGTCTCAAATATTGGGTAACTAGCTAAATGGCATCGGCTTTGAAATTATTAATTTTATAAGAAAAATTTACCTAGAATAACCCAATTTTAAAAAAGAATTACTAGAATAACTTCTTAAAATTTTTATTGTTCAAATAACCTACTTTACATTTTGTTTCTTTCATAATACTAAAAATGTCTCTACTAACTAATTAACATTAGAAATAGATTTAATTTCAAGCAAAAACATTTCAAATAAGAAAGCAGACACAAAATTTAAAAAATCATTATCAACAAAATATAAAACACTCAAGAATCAATGTTTTCGTAGATTATAGTTTTTTTTGTAAATTCTACATTTTTTTGGCAGAGTTTGTCAATGCTTTTTCAGAGTTTGCCAATGCTTCCGTAGAGTCTGACAATACTTCGGCAGAGTCTACGTTTTTAGTATAGTCTACTAATATATCAGTAGAGTATACGTTTTTTTGGTAGTGTCTACCAATATCTCGGCAAAGTCTACTAATATTTCGGTAGACTCTGCGCTTTTCTAGATAGTGGCAGACTCTGCTAATATCTCGGTAGAGTCTGCCAATATTTTAGCAGAGTCTGTTAATGTTTTGCAGAGTCTGCAAAATTTCTAAATATTGGCAGAGTTTGCCAATATATCGGTATTAGCAAACTCTATCAATGTTTCGGCAGAATCTGCCAATATCTTAGCAGTGTCTGCCATTATCTTGGCAGAGTCTGCCAATGTTTCGACAGAGTCTACCAATACATCGGCAGAGTCTACCAATATTTCGGCAGAGTCTGCGGTATGCTAGTAGACACTTTAATTTTTTTCTAAAATGTTGATAGACAGTCTACTAGTTTATCAATGTCTCGGCAGAGTCTGTCAATATTTTGGTAAAGTCTGCGAATAACAATTTTGGTATTACGAAATAAAAAAATCAAGAATAGGTTATTTCAGCAATAAAATAATAGTAAAGTTATTCTAGCTATTTAAAAAAAAAAAGATTATTTTAGCTAATCTTCCATTTTATAATCACACGATAGCTTTTTTTGGTAAACTAATCACACGATAGCTAGGATTTGTTTCTTCGTCAACGTATGGCTAAGATTTGTCACCTACATATATAAAGACCTTACGTGCCTATAAGATGGTTCGAAACTTTGTTGGTTCTAATACCACTTTGTAATATCCATACGGTCCTATTGTTTGGACTTCTAGTTGTGGCCTTTAGCTTCGTTTGGCAACTAATATACTATTCTAACTCGGAACAGTGGTTGGAAAACGGCCGTTTTAATTACGAATTCTTCAGATTGAGCCAAATTAAATATGAACTTGTTAATGAGCCAAATAAAGTATAGACTTGAGTTGACTGAGACATTTTAGGTATATAATTAGTCAACACTAAAATTTGTTTATTAGTCGTTAAACGACGTTTACTGTAATCGTTAACTAAAACGACACAGTTTAACAAACAGACAGAAGATAAGAAAACCCCCAAACCAATTTCTCAAATCCCTAATTCTATCA